GGGTGTGGCTATCTTTGGGGCTCATGAGGGGGGTATGCTGCTGCCCTCTACAAGACCCATAGGCTGTAGTTGTTTTCCTCTCCCAACTCGACACTTTTCCTGATGCACTTTCTCACTCGGGTGGATGACACCACGTTTGTATCTCCAATTCCAGCGGTGACCATTCATTGGACATTTCCCCTTTGATGTCCCACAGACTTTGGAACCTGTGCTTCTCACCTTTAGGGCTTTGCACATTTGCTGTCTTGGTTTAGACACCCTTTTCTCCTGTGATACTGCCTTCTTTTTCCTTTACAACTCAAGGCATTCCCTTCTCCAGGAAGCTTTTTTACTTTTTTTAAATACTGAGATATAATTGATGTATAACATTGTGTAAGTTTAGGTGTGCAACCTGTTGATTGGATATTTATATATTACAATGTGATTATCACCTCTATCATGTCACGTAATTATTATTTTGTGTAGAAATTTTGAAGTTTATGATCCAGTATTGTTGATTACAATCACTATGCTGTGCATGCAAGCTCAAGGACTTATCTGCTAGTTGCAAGTTTGTACCCTTAAAAAAATGTCTCCCTAGTTCTTCCACCCTGTTTCCCACCCTCTACATCACAGAAGTCATCTTTTTCTATTTGGAGTACTAGCAAGCAATTCAGAATTCAAACCCATAAGGTGAGGGTTAGAAATAGTAATTTATTTTCCTGTCTGTTTGAAGTCAGTCTCCTGGTGTCTCATTCCTTATGTGAAATACCCTCTCCATGACTGAAATGATAATCTACCACTTTTAGGGTACACAATAGACTTTCAAGAGACATCACCTGGACAAGTAATTCAGAATTTAGCTGATAATGTTGGCAGTTGATATGCACTTATATAGACTAGAGGCCTTGGCCTGGCCTGCTGGGATCAGTGGGCCTCGGTGCACTGCAGCCCAGCCTTACCCACCAGCTCCTAGGGCTCCAGCCCGCTGTCAGTGTCAATCCTGCACAGCATGAAGTATGTGTGAAAGCACCAGGCAGCCTGGGAGGAGCCTGAGCCTGGGCTGGGCGCTCTGCTGCTCCTGCTCATCTGGTACTGCTGTGCCTGTTCCCACCCCCACTGCTCAGGCTTGCAGGGGGAGTGTCCATGGGAGAAGCTCACACCACTGCAGCTGAGCTTGCCAGCTGTGAGCCCGTGTCTGGCACCCATTTGTCAGCTGAGCTGCACTCCCACTGTGGGAGTGCACTGACTACCAGGGGGCAGCTCCTGTTGAGAGTCTACTTCCTGTTGGTCAGCTGGTCGCTTAGGCTTTTATATATATAGATTGCAATTTGGGATAGGGTGGTGATACATTTAAGTCTTGTGACAATTATTCTTTTACCATCATAGGAGAATACTGTAAATATACTACCTATTTACACACTACTTAAGAACAAAATAGAAAAAAAAAAAAAAGAACAAAATAGAGATGGGAGAACAGAAAAGACAAGTCAACAAATATTTTTTTGTCTTAAAAGTTTGCTTTGGGTAACATACTTGCTGAAAGTGAAGTTTCCTTTTTCAGAGTTTCTACCCCTAGTGTGACATATCAAAAGAAAAAAAGAATTTAAGTGCCTAAAATGTAAAAAAATGTATAATTTTGAGCTTCTAGATTTTGAACAACCATATGAACTTTTAATCTTAAACTTTTGAGCTTCCAACTGTAAGAGTAGACAATGTCTTTTCCTCTTAAATTCTAAATATTCCCAGTCAAATGCCCTATAAAAGTTTTTTTTTAATTATTTAAAAATATTTTTATTGATTTCAGAGAGGGAGAGGGAGGTAGAAATATCAATGAGGAGAGGAAATCATTGCTTGGCTGCCTCCTGCTCCCCCCCTACTGAGGATTGAGCCTGCAACCCGGGCATGTGTCCTTTACCAGAATCGGACCTGGGATTCTTCATTCTGCAGGCCAATGCTTTATCCACTGAGTCAATCCAGCCAGGGTCAATAAAGTTAATGATAAAGGTAACTAACATAAAAATTTTATTAGTAAAATTTAATGACTAGTAAAAGCAATGCTTGACTTTCTCACAAGGAGGGTGCTGCAAGCCAGGACTACGAATTTCCAGCCTGTGATATCATAAGCTGTGCTAAATAACAATTTGAAGAAAACTCCCCGTTCATTGATATACATCTAGGTGCATAGCAAATCATGTAGGTATAATCATTTAATCCATATCCTAGGACAATGTTCAGAAGTTACAATTCATTGGGTTGCATGTTCTTTTTAGTAGAAAATCCCATCTATCTTTGTTATAAAAAATTTCTTTGTAAGTAAAGGTTTTCAGATTGATAATCTTGATTTCTCCATAAAATCACATTCTCTTTGCTTGAGTTCCTCTGAGTTATGCACAAGCCTTCCTGCTCTGAATCCACTGTTTTGTTTTTCTGCTATGATTTCAATGTCTGCTGAAGACAAGTAAAATTATGAAAGCCCTTTAGTCTTCAATTCTTAACTGATGGTAGTTCTATAGACTCAAGCAAGGGCTTTCCAGCCAGAAAAATTAAAGCAAGGGCTTTCCAGCCAGAAAAATTAAAGCAAGAGCTTTCCAGCCAGAAAAATTAAAGCAAGTTAGAGTTTTAACTCAATCCACATAATATGTATCGAGTACCTACAATGTTCAAAGTATTGTGCCATGAAGGAGCTTAACAGTTGGTAGACCATTATGGTTCTATTCTTTACACTTAATGGTTGACAATATGTGTGATTGACTTTAGTCCCCTTTTGTTTCACCAGAAGTGTTAATAGTATATAATTGTGACCACACCATATTTAAGGCATTCTCACTATCATCTGTCCCTTCCTAATGGAGAACATTTATTTAACAAATACTTTACAGTCTAATAAACCCAATATATTAACACTAGAGGCCCAGTGCACAAAATTCATGCATGAGTAGGGTCCTAGGCCTGGCCAATGATCAGGGCTGATATGTAGGGCAACTGGCAGGGCGATGAGAGGATCCCCGTGCTGGCACCCACCTTGGCTGGCCTGGCTCCGCCCCCAATAGCCCCACCACCACTGCTGCCAGTCGCCTCCTTCTCAGAGGGTAGACGCTCATCGCAAGAGCTGCACACGGTTGACTTGCCGGCCAGCCCTGCCCCCCACTGCTGCTGCTGGTCACCTCCCTCTATGGGCAATCAGTGGGTGATCGGGGTTTGGGGGGGGCCCACTGGCACCCACCTTGCCTGTCCTGGGGCCTGCAGGCAGCTCCTGCATTGAGCGTCTGCCACCTGCTGGTCAGTGCTCATCATAGCGACTGGTTGTTCTGCCTTTGGTCAATTTGCATATTGGGCTTTTATTATGTAGGAGTAGGATACTCAAGATTAGACCATTTGCTCAAATCTGAGAAAGCAAAATGCTATTAGAAGCCTTCCATTGTTTCCTCCCACCCTACAGAAGTGTTAAAGGTCACACCACACTCCCTATTCCAGATTTAGTCATTTAACCACCTGAACTATAAACCTAAGGTGTTTAGTTTTTTCAGCGATTAAGGCATGGCAAGCCACTGATGTCCCCTCTTACCCTGGTAATGCATGTATTACTAAATAAGATCATGAGGAAAATGTTTACCTCATCTTCTGAGTATTTAAACCCACTTATGGAAAACAAATCTTTTAACACACATTTGCAATCATATGGGATTTGGTGCAGCTGAATTCATTTTAGTATTTTAAAAAGGTAACACTTCTCTAAACATTCTTGGGCTTATCTTTTCTTACTTGCCTCCCTCCTCTCAAACTTCCATGTGAAAGTTAAAATTCAGTTTGCTTTTCAAGCCCATCTCAAATGTCCCTCTCTAGGAAACTATGTCATCTCTCAAATTAACATACAGTAACTTTTTTCCCTTCTGACTCTTCCACAGTACTTTCTTTTGTTTGACCCTCTCCTTTTGCTTCTCTTTCATATTAGGGAATCGTCACTATTGTAAATATCATTAGTGTTTTTTTTTTGTTTTGTTTTGTTTTTTAAAGGCCTTATGACTTAAGAGTCATAAGAGTGAAACACCAACTTTCCTGTTTGGTTTCCACTAACACGTGGGGAAGAATCCTTTGCTGTGAATTGTGGGAGTGCAGGGGAAGGACACAGATGATGATGATCATCATCATCTGGGCTGGATTCAATCCTAATAGAATTTATCTTTTAAACTTTAAAGTAATCCGAGGAGAGGCATCTAACTTTTCACACTGCAGAATCACCAGAGTGTGTGTGTGTATGTGTGTGTGTGTGTATATGTGTGTGTGGTTGGGGGGGGGGGCCCTTCAGAGATGTGCAGGGAAACTGCACCCCGCCTCCACGCCCGTTGAAAGCAGCTGCGCCTCAGGAATCTCCCCTTCCCTAGAATGTGGGAGAGGTCTGGTGCGACGGCAGCTGCAAAGCAACGACTCCTTCCCATTCCCATTCCTCGTGGACACGACCCCCCGCCCACCCACCCCCTCCCAAATGGTGGCGGCAGCTGCCGGGCCATCCCGGTGGGAATCCCTTTCCCAGTCTTCGCCCAAAGCGGCGGGCGGGCGGGCGGGGGGCAACAGCTGAAGACCGTCATCGGCGGTGCGGGCTCCGCTCCCCTAAGACGAGGGGAACAGCAGCCTCGCTGGCTCGGGCGCGGCCGCCTCTCCGGCTCGCCGCCGCGGTGCCGCAGGTGTCCGTCCCTCTCCGAGCCCAACGAGGCACCTGGGCAACGCGGGGCGGGCTCCCTCCGCGCCCGGGGACCTGCGGCGACGGCAGAAGGAGCGTCAGAACCTCCCTCCGGCTCCGCACCTTCCCAGGTCGGCGGGCGGGAGGCAGGCGCGGGGAGAGCCGGCTCCCGGAGGGGGAAGAAGCCGGGGCACACCTGGCGCTGCCTGAGCGGCGCGCCCACCTGGGTGAGCGCCTCCTCGCCCGGCGGCCCCGCCCCCCACCCGGACCCCCGCGGCCGCCGGCGCGTCCCCACCCGCCGCCGCCCGCGCACGCGCACGCCGCGCCCGGCCGCCTCGCGCTGTCATGGCGGCGGCGAGCACCGCCAGTGGGCACCGCCACGGGGATGGCCGCGCGAGCAGCGCCGAGGCGGGGCCGGCCGTGCCAGTAGCATCCTCACCGGCGCCCGCAGTCTCGGCCCCGGCGGCCGTGGCGCTAGCGGCGGCTAGTTTTCGCCAAGGCTGACCGTAGGGGTGGGGCGGACCGGGAAGCCACGGAGTTCCGTGCAGCCGCGGACTCCCGGGAGGCGGACTAGGGGGGGAACTTGGAGGCTGCGACCAGGTGCACTGACCTCTCTCTCTCTCTTTCTCGCTCTCTCTTTCTCTCTCCTTACCCCCGCCCTCCTCCTCCTCCTCCTTCCCCCCCTCGTGGGCTCCGCCAGGCCTCCCCCCTCCCTTCTGGCCACCACACACCTGCCCTCCTCTCCTCGCTGGACCTCAGGTGCCCGGGAGGTGCCCCGCTCCTCCCCCTGGGCCGAGCGCGGAGCGGAGTCGCCGCCCCTGCCCCCGCCTTTTCCTGCCCGGATCTCCGCCGCCACCGCGTCTCGCGTCTCCCCGGCGGCGGGGCTGAGCACGGACGGACGGACGGGTCCCGGGTGTCTGGGTGAGGAGTAACTTTCTGCCTTCGGGGAGCTCGTGGGCCCCGTCCTCCCCCGCTTTCCCCGTCCCCCTCCTCCGCCGGCGGAGGTTCCTCTTTCCGTGCACCTGCGGGGAGGGCGCCGGCGCCGGGACCGGCGCGGGGGGAGCGGAGCCTGCGGAGCCGCCCGCCCGCCCGCCGAGCCCGCGCCTCCCGCCGGGGGAGCGGGGAGGGCTGGCTCGCGGGGTCCCTTTAGGAACTTACTTCACGCACCCTAAGGACTCCCCTTCTCCGCCCCTCCACCTAAAACACCCCAACACAAAAACCTAGCCTATTTTCACGTTTATCTCATCTTCCAATAGGCTTTGGCGTTGTTGTCAGCCTCGGGGCGAGAGATTGGACGACTATTCTCCCAGAGGAGGAGGGCGACGCCAAGGACTTTCCGCTCGGACTGCTTTTGGGGGTTTCTCCGCAACTTGGGAGAGGGACCCTTTCTTTTTTTGGGGGGGAGGGTCGCGTGTGTGCTCCTACCCGAGGGCAGCGGCTGCCGTCCTGTGAGCGACTCGAGCTGCTGCTTCCCGGGAACTGGCCATGGCCAGCGAGGACGCGAAGGTCCCTTCCCCGCCGCCAACAGGTGATGACGGGGGAGGCGGAGGGAGAGGAGAAGAAGCCTTGTCCCTGGCGCCCGGGCTCCCCATCAGGGGCATCCGGATGAAGTTTGCAGTGCTGACCGGGCTGGTTGAAGTTGGAGAAGTGTCCAACAGGGATATCGTAGAGACTGTCTTTAACCTGGTAAGTGAATACATGTTTTAAAAGCATATATTCTTCTTCTTCTTATTCTTCCCCCCCCGCCCCCCCCATTGGGTTGAGGAACAAGCAGTGAAAAGAGGGAGCCATGTGCCTTCACTCAGACCGAGAATGGCTTTTTTCCCATGGGTGGAAGCTGACCTGAAAGAAACAGGGTCTTGTATCTTTCAGTGTAAGGGAAATGATGTAAAATGAAGATGCTCCCGGTCCCTTTGGTACCAAGAAAGTAAATGTTTGCTAGTGGAAATAGTTTGGGGCTTTCCAGAGGAGTTGTATTCTATTAATTATTTTGGGGAGAGAGAACATAAGTAAGTCTGCATTTCTCTTTGACATTTCGAATAAGTTCTGGTGACCTCTTTTTGGACCCGGGAAGTAATGTAAGTGATGATGTGATGTCAGGGCCTTTTGAGTCTGCCTAAGTTATAGTTTGCTATAAGTTTGGAACACAACATTTTTGTTCATAGGGTTGATGAAAGATAAATTTGCTGCAAAGTTAGCATTTATTTTCAATCTTGACCAGTCCTGTTTTTAGGCGTAACTAACAAATATCAAATTTTGGAATGAATGTAAGGGCTATATTGTGAAAGTGGAATGGCAGTTTACTTTTATTTTTTAAAATCTATTTTTGATTTTAGAGAGAGAGAGAGGGAGAGACATCAGTGATAAGTCATTGATCTGCTGCCTTCTGCACGCCCCCTACTGGGGATCCAGCAGGCAACCCAGGTAGAGGCCCTAACAGTGAATCCAACAGTGTCCTCCTGGTTCATAGGTTGGAGCTCAATCATTGAACGGTTGAATGGTTATTTGAAAAGAGGATTTTAGTAGATAGAATAATCTTTTTTTTTTTTTTAATTCCTGTCTAGCAATTAACATATTTGGTCACTGGAAGGTGCTGGTTATACCATGATGAACTATGAATGTTATTTTATAAAGATGGACATGCAGTACTTTCATTTTCTGTTCTTAGAAAGGTTTCTTTATTTTTTAAAAAAGTTTTTTAGTTTTTATGAGTTTATTTGAGCCAAACTGAAGACATATACCGAGAGTAAGATCTCAGATGCTACAGAAATGATTATTTTTAATGAGGGCTTTTCAGATTTCTTTATTCCAACCTCTGTTGCCCATCAACTTTTTAAAGAATAAAAAGTAAATTTAGCCTTAAAATACTTCCTCCTCTTCCACATAATCACCTGTGTTAGAACATAACAGGTGGGGACAAAAATGAATGTGCAGTAGTTGTAATAATTATTTAGCACCTTTCCTTGTTGCCTCTGTGTTTTCAAGGTTAGGCTCGTTTTATTTCAGGGCAGGTAATTATTCCCTTCACTGCACCTTTGCTAATAGTCTGGTCACCTGCAATACAACTTCTAGAATGAGAAAATAGCTAGATGAAATTCACTTTTGGAATATGAAAACTTTGAACAATAGGGTATTTCTCTACCAGTTTGTTGTATTTGGAACTTAGGGATAAACATCTATAGACCCATGTTTTTAACTACATATTATGGGAAATTTCAAGTACACCCTAAAATAGAATGGTATAAAAAGTATAAAGATCCTGTTATCTTCAGTAATTACCAGTGTTTTGTTGGATTGTGTGTGTGTGTGTGTGTGGGTGAGGGATGGGGGGTGGGGGAGGGGGGAGGGTGTGGATGGGTGTGGGTGTGTATGTTGAGGGTTTTTTTTTTTAAGTTTATGAGCCTTGCCCTGGCCGGGTAGCTCAGTTGGTTAGAGCGCTGTCCCCATACTGGTTTGGATTTCAGATTAGGGCACATATAAGAAGTAACCAATGAATTTATAAATGAGTGGATCAAGAAATCACTGTTTTCTCGCCCCCTCTCCCTTCCTCTTTCCTTTCCTTCCTTTCTTTCAATAAAAATCAATACAAATAATATTTAAAAATAAACTAAAAGTTTGTGAATCTCAAGGAGATAAGTGGTAGATTGATATATTCCTTTACTTTAAAATAGAGACTCTTGAATTGAAAAGTTTCCTTTTCAGGTTTCTTTCCCCCCCGCTTATCTAAACCTCATGTACCTGTAAACACACAGCTGTGATAGTGATTGATGATAATTAATTGTTTGTGTGTAAAAGACAACTTTCCTCTGGCAGGAAGAAGATTTGAACTGCTCTGTTCTTTGAATCACTTGAATCTTATCATTAAGGAAAATTAAAAAATGTGATAACAGTTGCTTATATGTTATCCTGCCCAGAACAGCATAACTTTAAACATATTTTATATATATTTTTATTTTATGTTTATATATAAACATATTTTATATATATTTTATGAGAAACATAATAGTGTTTCTCATGATTTGTAATCCTGGTAGAGATTTTAAGGTTATTGGTTAAGTCCCTCACAGTTGTTTGCAGGATAATAGATGCTCCTGTGGAAGGAGAGGGAAAATCTGTTGTTACATCCACTCATCACCATCACTCTCTTCTCACAGAAAGCAGAGAAAGTTGTTGAGAGGACCTGATTAGTTCCTTTCTTTCCATTCTCTCTTATGATACTTTTTATGCTCCTTCATGGATATCTAGGGTGTTGGCCAGTTTTCAGAAAATTTGGGGAGCTGAAATGTTGGGAATTTGATAATCTAGTTCATCTCAATGTTGTTAATACAAGTGCATTGGTGGTTGTCAGCCTTAGCCTTAATTCTGTTCAAGGACGGGAATTGCACTGTTATAATAAATGATTGTATTACTTAAAAAATTTAAAAAATATTTAAATGTTTTATTGATTTCAGAGAGGAAGGGAGAGAGAATGAGAGATAGAAACATCAATGATGAGAGATAATCCTTGATTGGCTGTCTCCTGCATGCCCCACACCTGGGCTTATGCCCTCACCAGGAATTGAATCGTGACCTCCTGATTCATAGGTCAAGGTTTAACCACTGAGTCATGCTGGCCCCGCTAATAAATGGTTTTTATTTTTAAAAATTTCTTATAAAAGGTTACTTGAGCCAAAATGAGGACAGATGCTTCCAGTAATTTTTAAAAAGTTATTACTACTTACCAGGCAATGGGCCAGGTGCTTTACATGTTTTTTTTTTTTTTTTTTTTTTTTAATTCTTCATTTCTCCTGTTAAATGTGCTTTGCTTCATTGTGCTTCATGGGTGTTTTTATTTCTTATTTTTTAAACAAATTGGAGGCAAGACCCTCGACCACCAAAAAGATTAAAATCTGCATTATAGTGTTACTGGTTTTATGTGGTGGTCTGAATCCACAATATCTCCTAGGTACACCTCTGTCTCATTTTACAGATAAGGATACTGAGATACTGAAAGATTGCCTCCAATTTGATGATTCTGGGAATGGCAACCTTTCCAGGAATATATCTGTTTCTTGAGTTGATGGAGAATTGTGTGATTCTCTGACAGGTGTTTGTAGTTTAGGTATAGGTTTCCCCAATGTAAGGGCACAAAAGTCATTGGTCTTGCTAAATATTAATGGTGAAACCTCCATCAGTACACTCAATTTCTTATTAAATATTTAAATAGATTAAAAAAAAAAACTGCTTTAAAAACACCTTAAAAGTAAGAGAACATTTTAGTTTTTTTCACTCAGAATGTGGATGTAGAAAGTTTATCATTAGCTTTTTTTTTTTTTCCAGGTTAAAATTTCTAAAACTGTAAAAGTCAGATGTAGACTACAGAATATATAACATAACTAAATAATGAAATACTATAACAATATAAGCCCTACCAACCTTCCATCTAACTTAACCAGTATATTACCAATATCATTTATTCCTCCTGTGTGTTCCTCTTTTAACCTATCTTTACAGGATTTTTCATTGGGGAGTTCATACTATTATCCTATATAATATCCTATATATTGATAATAAAGGCTAGTATGACTGATCGCTATGGCGCGCACTGACCACCAGGGGGCAGACACTCAATGCAGGAGCTGCCCCCTGGTGGTCAGTGCGCTCCCACTGGGGAGCACTACACAGCCAGAAGCTGGGCTCACAGCTGGTAGCTCAATGGTTAGTGACAGTGGTGGGAGCCTTTCCTGCCTCTGTGGCAGGGCTAAGGATGTCCAACTGCTGGCTTAGGCCTTGGGGAGTGGGTCTAAGCCGGCAGTTGGACATTCCCCTGAGTGCTCCTGGACTATGAGAGGGTGCAGGCCAGGCTGAAGGACTCTCTCCTCCCCCCGAGTGCATGATGCACTGGGTCATTAGTAGCTATCATAACATTTTTCTGTGTTTCAGCCATTTATTTGTTTATTGTTAATGCTCACCTGAGGATTTTTTTTTTTTTTTTAACATTGCTTTTCAGAGAGGGAGGGGAGGAGGAGGAGAAGGAGGAGGAGGAGGAGGAGGAGGAGGAGGAAGAGAAGGAGGAGAGAGGGAGAGAGAGAAAGCGAGAGGAGCATCCATGTGAGAGACACATTGACTGGTTGCATGTGCCCGACTGGGGGTTGGCAGGGAATCTGCAACCCAGGGAGAGAGGGAGGAAAAGAGAGAAGGGTATGCTCTAACCATTGAGAAACCAGCCAGGGCTCAGGTCTTTTATTAAAATAAGGTTATGTTCGCAAAGGACTTGTATGTATGCATATTAGCATAACTAATGGACATAGATACCGGGGCAGTGGGGACTTGCCTGGGGTGGAAATGACTTGGGGTGGGTCAATTGGGGAAAAAGGAGACATACTTTAGACAACAAAAAAACGAACAAACACCTCACAAAAATGTTATTTAAAATAAAAAAATAGGTTCTATTGATTTTCTGACATATTAACTACTATAATAAAGTTATGCTGTTAAAATTAAATAAACTCTGATCCCCCAGAATTATGGTAGAGCCATATAACTTGAGAAGTCTTTCTCTACAAAGTTCTGCTTCCCAACTTTGCTAATTTGACTTGCACTTACTCTGCTATAAAATCCTTTGAAATTTACCGCCCTTCTTGTAATTCCTTTTGCAAGTCTGTTTTACAGATAAGTTTTGATTAATGGTACACCTGTGTATTCAA